CACACACACACACACACACACCACCACCACCAAACGGGACGAAACAGAGGCAGAAGGAGGTTCTTAAAGAGACAGGCCAATTTCAAGGCATTTAGAAGGGGGAGTGATGAAAAGATAAGTTTATTTTCTGTTTAAACATAAAAACAACATTTTAATAACAGCAAAAGTTGGCATAAATACTTTATTATGGTGGTATAGTATTTAAATATATGTCTGAGAAACACATAATACTGGCCCTTTAACAATCTTGACAAAGTTAAAATGAAAATATCCTGATGCATCTCAATAATCCAGGTAGAAAAATCTAAAAAGTGTTAATTAGGGCCTCTGGATGGGTTCTTCTTTGTTGAAAAAAACATTTTGTCTCTCCTCCAATAGACCTTCAGTCTGAGGAATTACAGGAAAAACTTAAACCAGGACCTCCGCATTGTGGACAAACAAGTTAACGATGACATTTAAACTATTTGTTCTCATGCAAAAGAGGACCATCAGCCTAACAATCAATCATTAGTGCCTTGATTATCCCTATTGTTCACAGAGGACCATTAGCCAAACTACTTGTCAACATCAGCAAGACACTTTTAGTTTTACCATCTGCAATTTAAAGCATTAAAAAAACAGTAAATACATACTATAAGAATAGATGGTGAGTTTATCTGGTCTCAGTACATACAGACACACAACTGTTTTCTCTCACGTGTTGTAGTTGTTGACCTTTGAGCCAACATTCTCAGGAAGAGTGCCTTCTCTGGGTCGGGGAGGAGGTCCTGCCCCAAGTGGAGGAGCTTAAGTATCTCGGGGTCTTATTCACAAATGAGGGAAGAATGGAGCAGGAGATTGACAGGCAGATTGGTGTTGTGTTTGTAGTGGTGCAGGCGCTGTACCGGTCTGTAGTGGTGAAGCAAGAGCTGAGCCAGAAGGCAAAGCTCTCGGTTTACCAGTCGGTCTACGTTCCTACCCTCATCTATGGTCACGAGCTTTGGGTAGTGACCGAAATAACGAGATTGTGGACACAAGCGACCAAAATGAGTTTCCTTCACAGAGTGTCTGGGCTCTCCCTTAGAGATAGGGTGAGAAGCTCAGTCATCCGGGAGGGACTCAGAGTAGAGCCGCTGCTCCTCCACGTTGAGAGGAGCCATTTGAGGTGGCTCTGGCATCTGGTTAGGATGCCTCCTGGACACCTCCCTGGTGAGGTGTTCCAGGCACTTCCCACTGGGAGGAAGCCCAGAGGAAGACCCAGGACACCCTGGAAGGCCTTGGGATTCCCCCGGATGAGCTGGCCCAAGTGGCTGGGGAGAGGGAAGTCTGGGTCTCTTTGCTTAGGCTGCTGCCCCCATGACCTGACCCCAGGTAAGAGGAAGAAAACGGACAGACGGACAGACGGAATCAAAAGTAAGGCACAGACCTGCACATGTCAATCAAGATTTTATCCCATTTCTTAAGAAAGTTTATATACTTAACTCAAAATGTAAGGAAATTTGTGTTTCTTGTAACATTTCATGGCAATGAATCTTAGACTAGGTATCTGATCGACAGCAACAGGTAAATGGTGAATGTACTGTACTTATACAGCGCTTTTCTATCCATCCAGGACACTCAAAAGCGATTCACACTACAATCTGTGCCTTCATTTAACCATTCACACAGCACTCTATTACAGGTGGTACAGAAGCTCAAAACAAGCAAAAATAAACAACAGCAAGATAAGCTGTTTGGCAGAGAAGGCAAATATTTAATTTGCGTAACTCACATACTCAGCTCTACTGCTCATCCGACAAATGCATGTTCCTTACAAATGTAGCATCAATTAGAAATAAAATCAACAGGCTTTCCAACGGTATAAGACTAATTGCCATAAAGCATTAATAAAACAAAGAAATAATCTACCAAACACAAATTTACTTGCATTTTGTGCCAGGTTAGATGAACAGATATTAATCAAAGTGACTTTTGGGTTGTTAAAATGTTAGGACACTACTTCAGTAATGGACTTCATTGTTCATTGGCCATTACCACAGTCCGTTTGACACATTTTAGTACAAGCTCAAAAGTCAATCGTTTATAATATGATACTACTTTTTTAATGTCTTTCAAAGCCATGATAGTGTTTTCTGAGACAGTTTTCTGAGGTAGTTAAGTTTGAGAACTACTGGTCTGATCAGTCTTAAAAAGGTCTACTACTTCAGTCTTTCCTTTTTTTTGTGTTTGTGTGTGACAACGCGTGCCTACATGAATACATGGTGTGGTACGTACTACATCTCAGAGGAGGTGTAAATACTTGGAGCATAGATTTCTGTGTAATGCTCTTGGCTTCCCTAACCCTCGCTTGACTGTGTCAGAGGAAATCTCTGTAAACATTGCTACGGGCCAGACTGCACTGCGTAAACCCTGATAAGAAACTAAAGGAAGGTAGCAGATGTTCTTTCAGCAGTTAGGTTTTACACTTCTTCAGTTTTTTTATCAAATACACCAATGTAGCACAGGACTGTGAAATAATAAAAAAAAGATTGTAGTGTTGTTAGAGCAACGTGTGACCCAGTTCAGCAAAGATTATTAATGCTACTCTCCAAACAGGAAGCCGTATTTTCCTCTTATCATGTCAGAGTCCATGTACAGTATATTTACTCCCAACTCTGTGCCTGTTATCGTCAATCTCCATAAATTGTTTTGGAGATGACATGTTTAATTTACATCCACAGAACCTCTGACCCAAATACACCCTGTTCTGCCTCTCTACTTCAGGGGAAGAGTTGATGAAAGTGTTCGACTTAAAGCTCAACATGGGCTGTTTACTTTTCCTCCAATCTGTTTTTCCTTAAGCTATTTAAGTTTTCACTTAGCTATTTATTTTTATAACTCTTACTCTTAAAAAAGTAATCTATTAATATTTGATCATTGAAATGCAATAAGAACATGATCAGTGCGTCAACTTACTTGTGGTTTCCTTTTTTTATTTTATTTTTTTATTTTTACGTTTTATTTTTTTTTTGCTATAGAGCTTCCAGAGAACTGGACTGATACACGGGAAACCATCGTAGAGGGGATGACCTTTAACCTTGGTCACCTTGGCATGACTCTTGTGGACGAGCCCAAAGGAGCAGAGCTGTCAGCGGCTGCTGTAAAGAGAATCACTACCATGGTCAGAGGGAAAATCATCCAGTATTCCCTGTTTTTCCAACATCGGTGGGATACACAGCTTGTATACCATACTGTGGTATCTCATTAATTTGAATATATCATCAAGAATTTGTGTTGATTCTTCCATGATAGAAAATCTTTGCCTCATCACTCACAGCTCGATAACAAAGGCTTTGATCATTATTTTATTGCTGTTTGGGTTTTTAATATAAGCTGGCAATGTAAGTTTTTTGGAGTTAGAGGGGAGATGAAGTGCATGATGTGTAGGCAGGACTAGATTAGCATATTTATAGATTCATCCCATCCATCGAGTTATCCAGAGTCTGTTTTCTTTAACCTTACAAACAGACTTCACTGTACTTGTTGTGTGGGGCTGGTTAGTCACGCAGCTCCTGAGCTGTCACACACACTAAAACTGGATGGGCAACAGCAAAAATTTGTTTCTCATTGGGCTGTGAATGTTGGTGATTAAAATTGTGAGAAAACCTGCAAATTTTAAGTTGCAGTTCTGAGTTCCAGCTACAGTACATTTTGTACAGCCAGTTTACAAAAGATCCAGTCTTATTTTCATGTGTAGAGTTTGTAAAATTGTATTCTTGTCTTCGGCCGCAGCTGCCCCATTTACGATTTGATTTATTGGATTTGTTTTATGTAATTATGTTTGGTGTATAAACTGTGTAGGAAATGTAAAGTTTGACAAAGAAAGAATTTGTTTACAGAAATCTTAGATGGCTCAATAGAACATTGAACATTCTTAGCAGTGGCATATATTCTATCATTTACATTTATTAACACAGCTCAGCATTTTCAGTTCATTTATTTATAGGTTACCTTAATGTACTCTGTTTCTTCTACCTCATTTCAAATTTCACTAGAGTTCAAATGATTCATACAGGATGGGTGGAAGAGAGTTCAGATATTTCAGTGGTTTACTGAATCAGATGCAGCCCTGATATTTGTTTCCAAAAATGTGAAGATAATACTGTATCTTGCTCAGTGTTCTCAAAAATATTTACTGCAAACAGAAGTATGATTATTATGATTATTATGTAACTGTCTGTGGTACGACTTTTGGAGATTGCTGTTATTTTCTGTAAACATTTAATATTTATGGATTCACAGTTAGTAATCTGCAGTGCTGATACCACCAATCTGAAACCAAAAGACGCAGAAATGCTATTAAATATATATATGGTGGTTTCGCTCAAGCACTTCTGGATGGATGCAAACTGCATTTCGCCTGTACTTGTGCAATGACAAAAAAGTTGAATCTATCTATCTATCTATCTATCTATCTATCTATCTATCTATCTATCTATCTATCTATCTATCTATCTATCT